ACACGATAACCAAGCTCATTGAGGTTTCTCGGGAGTTCAAGATGCCGCTCTGCTTAACGTTCATTGATTTAAAGAAGGCCTTTGATTCTGTTGAGACGGAAGCGGTCATTGAAGCCCTAGCCAATCAGGGCATTCAAGCCCAATACATCAGGATCCTCCGTGAGCTGTATTGCGGATTCACTACCAGGATCTCACCATTCTACAAAGAAGTGATCGTTGATGTCAAGAGAGGGGTGCGGCAGGGTGATACCATTTCACCAAAACTCTTCAGTGCCACCCTCGAGAACATCATGCGACGACTGGAATGGGAAGGAGTGGGAGTGAAGATAGATGGTCGGCAACTACACCACCTCCGCTTTGCTGATGACATTGTTTTAATAACACCAAACATCAGCCAAGCGGCACAAATGCTGGCCGACTTTGACCATGAGTGTGGAAAGGTAGGACTACAGCTGAATCTTACGAAGACAATGTTTATGAGAAACAGCCTTGTTCCTGACGCCCCATTCGCTCTCAATGGAACGACCATCTCCGAATGCAACAGCTATGTGTACCTAGGTCGAGAGGTCAACATGAGAAATGACCTGGCACCCGAGCTGCGCAGGAGGAAGAGAGCGGCTTGGAACGCCTTCAAGAACGTCGAAGAAATAGCTAAGAGGACGAAGAACCTCCGGCTCCGGGCACATCTCTTTGATTCCACTGTTCTTCCTGCATTAACATATGCCTCAGAGACCTGGGCCCTACGCAAACAAGATGAGAACGCCATTCAGGTCTCCCAAAGAAGAATAGAAAGAGCTATGCTTGGAATATCACGTTTCACTCAAATGAGAGAACGAATCCGGAGTTCTGACATCCGTCGACGATCAAGGATCAGGGACGCTGTCTCATTTGCCAAGGTGTCGAAAATCAGATGGGCTGGTCACGTAATGAGATTTAGAGACGACCGTTGGACTAGAGCTGTTACTGATTGGATTCCACGGGATGTCAAGAGACCGCGTGGCCGCCCACCTACCAGATGGTCAGACTTCTTTGTCAAGATCATGAACGATCGGTTTGAGGCCCTCCATGTTCCCGGAGCGAAGAGATGCCATTGGGCTACACTAGCACGCGACAGGGACAAATGGAGACGTTACTGGCGCCCGCTCGAGCAAATCGACGACTAACGGGAAGTTAAGTGATTAAGTGATTAAGTGACCTCTTATAGTCTAGCCCACTGATGTACCTAAAGCAGCATACATGTATTTGGTTTTCACATACTTGCTTGTATTCTCCATCCCTCTCAGAGAGCCCAGCAAGCTACCAAGAGTATCCCGCCTGCACGGGCAGCCTGGCAAGTTATATGTGGTGTATTTGATATGGCAAAAACAGTAACAATATCGGGCCTCATTCCCCTGACCCTGAAAGAGCCTCCAATACAGAAGCACTGGGAAATACAAGTAAGGAGAGGCTGCTAAAATCTCAGGGCTGTAATGAATGAGAGCTTACTGGCGCCTGCTTGAGTAAAATGATGAATAATGGGATGACTTGGGTCGGCCATGTTGGCTGGAGCGATAGCACAGCGGTAGGGCATTTGCCTTGCACGCAGCCAACATGACCGACCCGAGTTTGATTCCTCCGCCCCCCTCGGAGAGCCCAGCAAGCTACCGAGAGTATCTTGCCTGCATGGCAGAGCCTGGCAAGCTCCCCATGACGTATTCGATATGCCAAACACAGTAACAACAAAATCTCCAAAGGAGACGTTACTGGGCCCGCTCGAGCAAATCGATGAACAACGGGAGGGCCTTTACTTACTTTAATGGGATGACAGTGATAGTGATACTAATGAACAATATTTTATAAGCATTTTGTTATTGATTGATCATAATAAATAATTTGCTATAGCCATTATGAACTATCATTTAATAATTTATATTCACTCACTCTTCTGGTCAAAATCATTTGTTGATTAAAATCATTAAAGCACTGTGAAGCACTGTCCTCCCGTTGTTTATCGATTTGCTCGAGCAGGCCCAGTAATGTCTCCATTGTGAGATTTATTGTTACTGTGTTTGGCATATTGAATACGTCATGGGGAGCTTGCCACACTTTGCCATGTGAGTGAGATACTCTCGGTAGCTTGCCGAACTCTCTGAGAGGGGCAGAGGATTCGAACTCGGGTCGGCCATGTTGGCCGCTTGTAAGGCAAACACCCTACCAGCTGTGCTATTGCTCTCCTTGCGATATTTTATCATAACATACCTATAGTTTGTATGCATTTTTTAATAAATCCATTTAACTGTAAGATAGAGATTGCAGAAGAAACTGGCAAATATGCCACAACAATTAAAAGGTTCCTTTGAGATGGTGTAGGATCACTGAATGAAACATCTGTATTATGAACAGCTTTGCAAACCTTGGTGTTTAAATAAAGTTTCAAACGTTAGAAAAAAAATTCCTCATAAAAAGATGCAAAGAATTTCACTTCACTAATGTCCTGAAGGTTAGCCCTCCTTCAAGATGCTGTGACTAGTGAGCTGGAGAGATAGTACAGTGGGTAAGGCACTTTCCTTGCATGCAGCTGACCTGAGTCCAACCCCTGGCATCCCACATGGCCTCCTGAGCACCATCAGAAGTGAATCCTGAATGTGTAGCCAGGAGCACTGCCAGGTGTGGTCCCAAATGAAAACAAAACAAAAATGCTGTGTCTGGACTTTCCCAAGGCATACTTTGTTAGGTGGATTATTTAAAACTGATATAAGGGCTGGAGAGATAGCACAGTGGGTAGGGCATTTGTCTTGCACGCAACCAACCCGGGTTCGATTCCCAGCATCCCATATGGTCCCTCAGCACTGCCAGGAGTAATTCCTGAGTGCATGAGGCAGGAGTCACACCTGTGCATCGCCGGGTGTGACCCAAAAAGAAAAAAAAATGAAACTGATGTCAACTGAGGCTCTGTCGATTTATGAGAAATGGTTATCATTCCTTTCATTATTTAGAAGAATCAAAACCATGGGAAACACCCAGAATTGCAAACTTTTTTTTTTTTTTTTTTTTTTTTTTGCTTTTTGGGTTGGGCTGGAGCAATAGCACAGCTGGTAGGGTGTTTGCCTTGCATGTGGCCAACCGGGCCAACCTGAGTTTGATTCCTCTACCTTCAATTCCTCCGCCCCTCTTGGAGAGCCCGGCAAGCTACTGAGAGTATCTCGCCCACATGACAAAGCCTGGCAAGCTCCCCATGATGTATTCAATATGCCAAGCACAGTACCAACAAGTCTCACAATGTTACTAGGCCCGCTTGAGCAAATTGATGAACTACGGGAGGACAATGGCAGTGACAGTGCTTTTTGGATCACACTTGGTGATGCACAGGGGTTACTCCTGGCTCATGCATTCAGGAATTATTCCTGGTGGTGCTTGGGGGACCATATGGGATGCTGGGAATCAAACCGGTGTCCGCTGTGTGCAAGGCAAACACCCTACCCGCTGTGCTATTGCTTCAGCCCCACAAAAATATTTTTAAGTGAGACTTAAAGTTATGTAATAACTTTCCTATTACATAAACTTCTCTATATGGCAAGACAGACATCTGATTACAGAGCACCAACTGTTTGTGAGTCATCCTGTCCTCACCATGAGTGTCCTCCTCCACTCTTGGTTGAAACCCCAAGCACCTACCCTGTTCTTCATCTCTAGATATACCCTAGTTTTGCTTCCCTTATTTCTTTAGGATCTACGTCATGTCCATTCACCACATATATGTAATAAAATTTTCTCTTTCCTCCTACTAATCTGATGTAGCTGGATTACTCAACTGGCCCAAGCAGAACTCAGAAGTTTCTGTACCTGAAACCCTGCATGCTCACAGTCTGAGAACGTTGATTTAGTGCCCAGCTCTGGACTCAATGCTGGGAGGATTTGGAGCTTGTCTCATAGTTAGTTAACAGATGCTGCATGGTACAGGTTAAGAATGAAAGTTGGAGTGCAGAGGTAGTTTCCACGATGTCAAGGGCAACTTGAGGGATGAATTAGACTGAAAGGAAGTAGGCCAATTGTTTTCAGTCAAATTAAATTATGATTTTATTTATTTTTGTTATGTAGGGCTGGAGCGATAGCACAGCGGTAGGGCGTTTGCCTTACACGCGGCCAACATGGCTGACCCGAGTTCGATTCCTCTGCCCCTCTTGGAGAGCCCGGCAAGCTACCTAGAGTATCTCGCCCGCACAGCAGAGCCTGGCAAGCTCCCCATGACGTATTCGATATGCCAAACACAGTAACAACAAAGTCTCCAATGGAGACGTTACTGGGCCCGCTCGAGCAAATCGATGATCAACGGGAGGGCCTTTACCTTTACCTTTACCTTATGTTGGGCTGGAGCGATAGCACAGTGGATAGGGCATTTGGCTTGCATGAGGCCAACCCGGGTTCGATTCCTCTGCCTCCTCGGAGAGCCCGGCAAACTACCGAGAGTATCCTGCCGCATGGCAAAGCCTGACAAGCTACCTGTGGCGTATTCGATATGCCAAAAACAGTAACAACAAGTCTCACAATAGAGACGTTATTGGTGCCCGCTCGAGCAAATCGATGAACAATGGGAGGACAGTGCTGCAGTGCTACAGTGCTTTGTTTTGTTTGGGGGCCACACTCGGCAATGCTCAGGTGTTACTCCTGACTCTGAGCTCAGGACCACTCTGGTGATGAACAGGGGACCAGATGGGATGCCAGAGATGAAACTCTGGTTGACCGCTTGCCAAGCAAATGCCCTACCCACTCTGCTATCTCTCCAGCCCCTAAACTTTAACTTTAACTGCTTGTATTTCCAGGGCATCAGCCTATTAGTGTTGATCCCATTTCATCACTTCCTCTGGTTGTTGCCAGAGGAAGTAAGCTCACTTGCCCTCCTGCGCAAGAGAGGAAACCCTGATTAGTGCCAATAACTGCAGCAAAGCTATTATTTTTTTTTTGTTTCTTATTGTTGAAGTTCCTCAAATAAAGTGTTTGGGATTCACTTTCTTCGACTCTTACTAACACAACACTCCAGAGCTCAAACACTGAAAAGAGACAATGAGAGACTGAGAAGAGAAAGTTTAAGAATGAATTTCTTCAAGTCATCTACATCACAAAATACAGGTACAACTTGCAACTATCTCTCTTTTGTTTTTTAAAGACTCTTTTATTTTTTTTTGGTTTGGTTTGGTTTGGTTTGGTTTGGTTTGGGAGCCATACTAGGGTGCTCTGGGGAACTGTGTGGTACCAGGGACAGAACCTGTGGTTGCAGCATACAAAGCATTGTTGGCTTCCACTCTTTGAGTTTCTGTCCAAGTCCTTTAGTGGATTGGGTGGAAAGTGGAGAGAAGTTATAAGGGAGGACAGGACATAGAAAAACATTCAATAATGTAAAGATGAGTTAGAAGGGGAGAAACAGTCAGAAAATTAAGAAGAGGAAAACTCAAGAGAATTTAGATAACTAAATGTCATACTGGAAGGATTGCTGTGCATGGAAGCTGTCAGGTGACTATTTCTACCTTTCCTAGAACTTCCCAATGACCAAGGTTCTTGACTTCTTGGAAACTTGTTTTCCTTGTATTACTACTGTGACTTTATCTAAATCACAGCAAAAACTAATAATAGTGTATATTGAGAGGAGGAAGAAAACTGCTAGATGCTTGTCAAGAGATTTAAGAAATCTCTAAAATTTAAATTTTATGGCAAAGAGATTAAGAAATAAAGGCACTCTGGGGGCTGGAGCGATAGCACAGCGGGTAGAGTGTTTGCTCTGCACGCAGCCAACCCGGGTTCGATTCCTAGCATCCCATATGGTCCCCCGAGCACCACCAGGAGCAATTCCTGAGTGCATGAGCCAGGAGTAACTCCTGTGCATCGCAGGGTGTGACTCAAAAAGAAAAAAAAACAAGAAATAAAGGCACTCTGAATAAATAGCAGTACTCCTAATAATAATAATAATAATAATAATAATAATAAAAAAATAAAGGCATGAAAAGAGAATAGTAGAGAGACAAGAAAAATAGAGAAGGTGGCAGGGAGAAACAGAAAAACAGGAAAAGGGGACGATCTAGATGTGAAGGAAAAATGTACTTTTCTCCATCAATAGTTTAGGATTAGTAATGGATTATTTCCGTGGTTCTAAAAATACAGGCCCCAGGTCACGTGTTTGTTCTATACCAGCTCTATGGAAACGTTAACTTGGGGTGAGGCCTGAGAATCTGTGGTTTCGCAAGTCCCCCAAATAATGCCAGTACACCCTGACGTTTGAGAATTACTCAGCACAGACAATGGTGGTGGAAGGAAGGAAGTAAGGATGAGTAAGAACCTCATGCAGGGCTGTGGATATAGAATATAGGTTAGGGCACATACTCTGCATGCATGGAACCTCGTTTAGACCCCTGGTACCACATGCCCCTTCATGTGTTACCAACAATCTCCCTGGCACTGCTGAGGTGGCTCTGGTAGTCCTGATCATCACAGGACCAAAGGAACACCACAGCTTTGATCCTAGCATTCAACCCCTTAAGCAGGGTTGGCTGAATAACCTTAGAAGTGGCCCTTGGGATCCTGAGCACTGCTTGGGAGAACCCCCATGTCTCAGTTTTTTTCTGTGTCTATCTTTAGGACAATTAACTATATTTGTGTTTCTCTACAGCAAGACAGTGCTTCTCCTCCCAAGTGTTTTTCTGGGCTGTTGCTGGGGTCTCCATCCTACTGCTCAGTGCCTGTTTTATCACTAAATGTGTTGGTGAGTTCTGAAGGGCAAATTCTATCTATCCTATTAATATTAGAGTAAGTTATTCTTTGCTGCTAGGGGGTTCTCTTCTTCCATGAAGGGCATTTTTTTTTGGGGTCACACCTGGAGATGCACAGGGTTTACTCCTGGCTCTGCACTTAGGAATTACTCCTGGCAGTGCTCAGGGGCCCATATGGGATGCTGGGAATCGAACCCGGGTCTGCCACGTGAAAGGCAAATGCCCTACCCGCTGTGTTATTGCTCCAGCGCCTCTTCTTTTTTTCTTTTTTTTTAAAGACTCGTATAAAATGTTCAACTTTATTATGAATTTCAGTCACGTGGAATGTTGCAAAGTGTGATGTATGTGTTGACAAATCTCACTAATGCATCAGCGATACTAAAGATATTCCAAATGTCTCATTTCTCAACTCACTTATACTTTCGTAGTATCTAAAATAATTGAAACTACATGGCAATTTTAAATTTCAAGTTTTTTAATTGTTGGAAAACAATGCAATTTTGTATTTCAGTAACAAATACATAATCTTAAAAACGTTACTTATGCATATCTATATTCTTTCTATTCCCAATTCAGGTGTTCAACACTATTAAAATATTTTTTATAAGTGTATACATATATGCATTTTTTTTACCTCTACCTATGTAGGGTATTTTAATTTCAGGTTTTCCCTAATATATTACCAGGTTATTCCACAAGTCCAAAACCTCAATTAATATAGAACTGTTACCACACTTCAGTGACCTCTTGACACATTTTTTCATGGTGGACATTTTCCCTTTTGGTGGTGGTCTTCAGTGTCCCCCAAACCGTTGCTACTTCTAGCCTTCTACATCGCAATAATTAATGGGACCTATAAGCTAGTCTAAAACATGAGAAATTCCTTTGCTTACGGAAAGGAAGGGTAGAGGGAAGACACAGAATACAAACACATTTGTTTTGTCTGGGTTTTTGTTCTCCCTGAAATCAAGTATATTCATCTGTCAAACCTGGGAACACTATGAGGAATGAACTTCTTCTTCTTTTGAGTAAGTAAATCTTTGTGTCTCCCCATAAAGAAGGAAATGCAGCTAGTAAGAACCTAGCATAATGACTATTGGCAGTTTTACAAAATGATGTTTAAGTTATATTTTCACTGATTTTTATTGTGATAACACCAGTTTACGAGAGTGTCAATGTATATATGCTTTAGAGGTATGATGTTGGCATACCACACCCACCACCAATGTGCCCATATCCCTGCACCAAAGTCCAATGCAAACTTTCAGCACACTCCCCGCCCCCACCTTCCCACAGTTCTGAGGGTCTCAGGGTTTGTTATCAAGGGACATTGATATTCCCATGTTTTGTTTCTTCATATTCCACCAGTGAGTGAGTTCAATATTTATCTTTCTCTTGATTCATTTGCTTAGTAGAACTACCTCTTTAATGTTTTGGTACATTTATGTTGTAGCAAAAATGTTTTTATTTTTCTAATGGCTGAGTCATATTCCATTGTAGGTGTGTGTGCACATACAATGCATACATGCACATTATATATATGCATACATAAATATATATGATATGTGTATGTGTGTATATATATGTATATATGTGTTTCAGGTGTTTAAGACAAATAATAGGGTTTTCATACACATATGTATATATGTATACAACTTCCTTACTCATCTGTCATTGAGCACATAGATTGTTTTCAGATCTTAGATCTTGAAAATATCACTGTAATGACTATAGGTATAGGTGTATCTTTACAAATTTATGTTCCTGGGAAAAGTATTTTGACATGAAATTGCTGGATCATATGATAATTTTATAAAATGAATTTTTTATCAGAAGAGTCACATTAACTGTGTCCCTCTCTACACAGTAACATATCGCATCTTTCAGTCATGTGATGAGCAAAAGTTCCCGCCACAAGAGGACTTGATGGAGTTTTCCTGCTTCAAAAATGGATCAGGTATAACAGTTCTCAAAGGTGAAATTCAAGATTTTCATACCAACCTTTTCAAGCTTCTCTGTTGATTTGGGAAGAAGCAAAGTAGCTAGAATAGGTCTTGGTTTTATTTTTAATTTATTTTAAAAATTGAATCAGTGAGATACACAGTTACAAGGTTGCTCATGATTGGGTTTTAGTCATACAATGTTCTAACACCCATTCCTTCACCAGTGTATATTTCCCAGTTTCCCTCCTGTTCCCCACAACCCCATCTCTATGGCAGGCACTTCTGTCTGCCTGCCTGCCTGCCTGCCTGTCTGTCTGTCTGTCTGTCTCTCTTTCTTTTTCTCTTGGCAAACCATAATTCCCAAAAGGAAAGAAGGGGGCGGGGTTTAGGTTTTATTTTTCCCAACAAAATGAAAATTTTTACCTGTGCTATAAAAGAAAGATGAGGAGTAAATTTGGAAATGCAATTAGCACGGAGGCAAAAAAAAAAAAAAGTGAGGCAATATTATCACATACTTTTTTTTTGGTGGAGGCGGGTCACACCCAGCGATGCTCAGGGATTTCTTCTGGCTCTGCACTCAGAAATCACTCCTGGCAGAGCTGGAGGAACCATATGGGATGCCAGGAATAGAACCCAGGTTGACCACGCGCAAAGCAAATGCCCTACCCACTGTACTTTCATTCCAGCCCCTATTATCACATACATTTGGAGTGAATTTGAGATATCTATCTAAACAGTCACTGTCACTGTCCTCCCGTTGTTCATTGATTTACTCGAGCAGGGCCAGTAACATCTCCATTGTGAGACTTGTTGTTACTGTGTTTGGCATATCGACTACATCACGGGTAGCTTGCCAGGCTTTTCATGTGGGCGAGATACCCTTGGTAGCTTGCAGGGCTCTCCGAGAGGGGTGGAGGAATTAAACCAGGGGCGGTCGGGTAGGCCAAGTGGGCTGCATGCAAGGCAAACGCCCTACTGCTGTGCTATTGTTACAGCCCTAATCTAAACAGTACATCTGGAAATAAAAGGTATAACCCCAGGATTGCAAATTTTTCCCATTTACCACCTGCTTCCAAATGAAGTGGAGATCAAGATGTATAGAGTAGGGAAATTAAATATCTCAGAAAACACTCCCTGTGTTCTCACATAAATTGGGTTCCAAGTCTTCCCAAATTCTATGTAATACTAGAAAAGTAACTAATTTCACTAATTTGTAATTGCCTTGTCATTAAATTCAGGTGTCATTGTACTTTTTATTTTTTAATAAATTTTTAAAGCTTTAATTCTAAGAAATTATGATCATCTGTTCTACTAGTTGGGAAGTTATGTTGAGGGTGCATTAATATGAGACATGCTTAGCACAGTGGTAGGGCATTTGCCTTGCACGCAGTCAGCCCAGCCAAGCCGGGTTCGATTCCTCCACCCCTCTCAGTGAGCCCAGCAAGCTACCGAGAGTATTCAATATGCCAAACACAGTAACAATAAGTCTCAAAATGGAGACGTTACTGGGCCCGCTCGAGCAAATCGATGAACAACGGAGGACAGGTACAGGTACAGGTATGGTCATCTGTTCTATTAGTTGGGAAGTTATGTTGAGGGTGCATTAATATGAGAAATGCTTGTTGAGGCATTGTTCAGATAGAACACAAACTTTCTTTCAGATGTCTAAGAATAAGAACAAATAATAGGGTTTTCCTTTAGTAGCATAGCTGAGATGGATCGCTTAGATGTTTCCATACCAGCCCTAACATCTAGAAAATAAAGGATCATATCTCAAAAAAACAAGGAAGTTATTGGTTTCTTATTAGCATATAAATTGCCTAGTCTTAGGTCATAAGATATGGGACATAAGTAAGGGGTTCACAGTATTATTAACTGTGAACTATATTATGACTAGAAGTGATGAGTTCATAGAATGTTTTCTTACTCAGTTTGTATTTCAAATTTTATATTTCTTATTCACTCACAGGACCTTCATTTCTCCCAGATTCAGTCGAGCATTGCTGTCCATGGAAATGGGTACATTTTCAATCCACCTGCTATTTCTTTTCTACTAACACCTTGACCTGGGCATTAAGTGCAAAAAACTGTTCAGACATGGGCGCTCAGCTGGTGGTTATCAACAGTGTGGAAGAGCAAGTAAGTGGAGTGTGGCTTTTTCCAGTGCCAATGTAACATTCTGCATAAGATCCAGACCTTTTAGCCATACCTGTGTGCAGAAGTTTTCATCATAGATACTTTATATTAAATGATCTTCTTGCATAAAATGCAAGCCATGCATATTATTTCTGTATATCAATACTTAAACTTTTTATTATTAGAAGAAGTTAAGAAAAGAAGCAATTTCTTTACTCACTTCTATTAGTTACACAGGGGACAAATATGTGAGAGCTTATTTTAGAGTTATCAGTGTTTATGAATTTATTTTATTTTTAATTTGTTGATTGACTCACGGGCTGGAGCTATATAGCACAGTGGTAGGGTGTTTGCCTTGCACGCGGCCGACATGACTGACCCAAGTTCAATTCCTCCGCCTCTCTCGGAGAGCCCGGCAAGCTACTGAAAGTATCTCTCCCGCACGGCAAAGCCTGGCAAGCTCCCCATGACGTATTTGATATGCCAAACACAGTAACAACAAAAGTCTCCAATAGAGACGTTACTGGGCCCGCTCGAGCAAATCGATGAACAACGGGAGGACAGTGGTGGTGACAGTGATTGACTCACTATATATATAATATATATATTTACAAAACTGTACATGATTGAGTTTCAATCATACAATTTTCCAATATCCATTGTTTATCAATTTCTCAAATGGAAGAGGGCAAGTAAGTATTGCCTATTACCTCTTAGTGGTGAAAAGTAATGCTTTGTTGTAGTCAAAGATAGTTATCTCGACAAGTTGCAGCTGATAAACTTTGAATGAGTTATTGAGACATTCCTTCTCTGTGACAGGTTATTTTTATTGGGTTTATGTTTTATATATACATAAATATATCACAATAATAAAGCAATTAAAATAAATATTATAAAAAGATTTATAAAATATCCCAAAGTGCATAATTAAGAATTTAGTTGAATTAAAGTCAGAGTAACTGGGCATTTCTTAGTTAGAGAATTATTTAGATTATGATATAAAACATATAGCTTCATATTGATTAGAATAACCAAAATCATCTCTGCCAAAGTCCAGAGCTCCCCCAAAATGTCAGGGGGTAATCCCCTATAGCCTAACAATTTCAGGTCCATCATATATTTTTTCTAATCCAGATTCTATTTTTTTTGTTGTCGTTTGTTTTTGTTTGGGGGCCACTCTCGGTGATGCTCAGAAGTTACTCCTGGCTCTGCACTCAGGAATTACTCCTGGTCATGCTGGGGGGTGGTGGTGGGGGGTTGGCATATAGTATATCGGAGATCAAATCCAGGTCAGAAGCACTCAAGGCAAGTGTCCTATCTGCTGTACTATCTCTACGGCCCCGATCAGATTCTACTTTATCTGAAGAACAGTCACCTTTAGAAATTTGTTCAGAATTGAAATGATCGATTTTTGCTGATTTTTCTCCATGTGTGCTGCTTTCACAGGAGTTTCTTTACCACACAAAACCTCCAGAGAGAGAGTTTTATATTGGATTGACAGACAGGGTTGTTGAAGATCAGTGGAAATGGGTAGATGGTACACCTTTCACCAAGTCTCTAAGGTAATTTTCTTCTTGAAGGCTACCTGCAATGCTAAAGTTCTACTGTGGTTGAAGGAAGTCATCAGAATCTTCTCCCCTGAGATAATCAGGGCTATCCTTGTGATATTAGAAGCAAGAAGGAGGAAAAGTTGATGTAAATCAGAAGGAAAAGAAACATGAATATCTTCTGCGCTCACTTCTGAGCACTATCTCAAGAATAAAGGGAAAATAGCAAGTAAAAATTACAAAGGTAGCACACAGCTTGCCCTGGGCCCATCCAGTCTCTTGTTGGGACCTGCTTTGGGGGTGCTAGGAACTAAGGGCAACTGAGGGTTAAGTTGAGAAGGCAGATGTCAAGGAGTGAATATTATTCGGAGTCAATTAACTCCCAAGTTACAAAAGCATAGCATTGACTGTCTTTCTGTGTCTATGCAAAAAGGACATTGCTTTGAAGTAATTATGCAAAAGGACATAAGAGAAAGATTTCACCTATGAACACAAGTCCAGTGTCCTTAGAAGGATCTGACCTCACAAGTTAACAGAGTCTGATTAGGGGGAAAGGGTGATAGACCAGTTGGGGAAGCAGAGCACAAAGAAAGAGGTTACAGATAAGCAAAGAAATGGGAGTGTCTCAGGAGCACTGTGGTGGGTGGAACCCTATAAACCTAAACTTCCCGTGGCAAGGGAGAAAGGACAAACCAATGTTATCCTACCAAAAATGAGTAGAGGGACAGAGAGATAATTCAGAAATTAAGGTGTTCGCCTTGCATGTGGCTAACCCTAGTTCGTTCTCTTATACCACATGGTCCTGCAAAGACTTTCAAGAGTAACCCCCTCAGCATAGAGAGAGTGCCTCTGAGCACAACTGGATGTGATACAAACCCTTACCCTTGCAAAAAAAATTGAAAATAAAAAATAATAAATTGGAATATTAACTCATTAGAAATGAGGGGTGGCAATGAGTGGAATTCAGTGGAATTCTTATGGCCCAAACTTCAGTGAATGAGTCAAACACAGTGATTTGGAAAAGTAAATCACTAAAATTACAAGTCAAAGTGGGAGTCCCAGGCTGGAGTGATAGCACAGCAGGTAGGGCATTTGCCTTGCACGTGGCTGGCCCAGGTTCAATTCCCAGCATCCCATATGGTCCCCTGAGCACCACCACAAGTAATTCCTCAGTGCAGAGCCAGGAGTAACACCTGTGTATCGCCAGGTGTGACCCAAAAAGCAAAAAAAAAAAAAAAGTGGGAGTCCCCTTAGTAACGTCTCTCCACTCTTAACCATGACACTTCATAGAGCAAGGCCCGTTTAGGAGTTTTTGACAAAAAAATCAAAGACCCATGGGTCTAAATCATTTCTAAGAGCTAAATTCAGTTGCTCTGAATACTTTGGAACATTGCTTCCCTACCACCTTGTAAGAGGTTATGTAAAGTAAAGGAACCAAATGTGAAATAAAAGATGGATGTGAAGGAAATGAACCCTTTAGAGTTATTAACCCCTTGCACATCTTCTCATAGAAGGTCTAAAGTCCTGAGGGAGCGTGACCAAATAGAAACTCAGAAAAATCCACTTCAATCAACTTGGAAAGTATCATGTTGAGTGAAATGAGTCAGAAAGAGAGGGACAGACACAGAAAGATTGCACTCATTTGTGGAATATAAAGTAACAGAAAGGGAGACCAACCCCCAAGAATAGTAGAGATAAGCACCAGGAGGAGTGCTCCACAGTTTGAAAGCCAGCCTCACATGCTGGGGGAAAAGGCAGTTCAGATGGAGAAGGGATCACCAAGTAAAGGGTACTTGGAGGGCCTACTCAGATTGGGAGATGCTTTCTGAAAATAGACTATAGACTGAACACGATGGCCACTCAGTTCCTCTATTGCAAGTCACAACGCCCAAAATGAGAGAAAGAGCAAAAGGGTATGCCCTGCCACAGAAGTGGGGCAGGGTTGGGGGGGGATGAGGTGGGGGGTGGGAGGAGGCACACTGGGATCATTGGGTGGTGAATAGGCACTGGTGGAGGGATTGGGTATTAAGCATTGTATGACTGAAATGTAACCACAAAAGTTTGTAAGTCTGTAACTGCACCTCATGGGGATCCATTACATAAAATTTAAAAAATTTAAAGAATTAATTAATTAAATACAATTTAAAAAATCCACTTCAGTTTTATTGTTCCCAAATCTTGAGACCTAAGCCAATGGTTTTGTTTCTCTGAGATTTTTCTCATAATTAATAAAACAGGAGACTTTTTGTTAATTTTAAAAAGTTAGCTAAAAAGTTAATTTTAATTTTAAATAGTTAATTAATTAAAAAGTTACCTTATAAAGATATGAGGCCAGAGATCGGAGCAATAGTACAGTGAGTGGGGCTTTTTTTTGCATATGGTTCTATCCTCAGCATCCTATATGGTCCCCCTGAGCACAGCCAGGAGTGATCCCTGAGCACAAAATCAGGGGGCACTTCTGAGCATCAGAGGATGTGGCCCCCAAACAAAGCAAACAGGAACTCCCCCCCCAAAACAAAGATATGAACTTAAATAACACAAATGCTATGGGCCTGGACACCTGTTCACTTGGCCTCTTGCAACTGGTATTTGAAGTCTTCTGTATGATTCTCTTCCAGCTTCTGGGATGCAGGGGAACCCAACAACCTGGCAACTGTCGAGGACTGTGTCACCATAAGAGACTCCTCAAATCCAAGGGAAAATTGGAATGATGTACCCTGTTTCTTCAACATGTTTCGAATTTGTGAAATGCCAGAAACAAAATTTTTGAACATAAAACTCACTAAGAACAAACGGAAAAATTTAAAGAAGTAAATTGAGGAGGATCAATAATTGGAACCCAGAGACCATCCCCACAGGAGAAAAGAGCGCGTGGGACTTCGTGGGGTCTTCAAAAGTGTCTGACTTTCATATAAGGAAATAAAACTCAGTAGCTTTGACTGTTACCATGCATGATACTCAATGAAGGGTTCTTTCTGTTCATCTCGGGACTTCTTAGCTCTCTTCATTTATTGCATAATACCCTGTCAATATGGATAACGCTATTTAAGACCTGTAAGGCATGTGGCACACTTAGAACCAGGTCCGACCAATGTAAAAGTCATCCAGAACTTAGCATGCACACTGAACATGAACTCTCGTTGAGGTCTGATAAGAGTTATGACATACACACCTGAGTTTTGAGGACTTGACTGTAAAAGCAAATAAAACAAATCATTAATTGTAGGATAAGATTGGTTTGTCCTTTCCGCCTTGCCACAGGGAGCTTAGGTTTATTGGGTTACTCCCATCACAGTGCTCCCATTCCTCTGTGTTTACTTGTAACTTCTTTCTTTGTGCTCTGTTGATTTGTAAATATTGTTTTTCTCTTCTCATGAAGTCCTTTGCATAATTAATTCAGAGCAAATATCCTTCTTGTATGGGCACAAGAAATGTTATAATATGGGCACAGTTAATGCTATGCTTTTGTAACATGGCAGTTAACTGACTCCAGATAATATTACCTCCAGGGCATCTGTTCTCTCAACCTAAGCCTCAGTTGCCCTTACTTCCTAGCACCCCAAAAGCAGGGTACTGATGAGGGACTAGATGCTTGCTTGCTAATATATTTAAGGATTGAAAACTAAAATAACTCAGTTATTTGAGACAAATTTAATAAATAAAATTGAACTTAAAAAAATGTCTTCTGCTAACTCCTGATTCTGGTATCTAAGAAGTAATCACATTAAACTCTTTTGTTTTTCTTTTTCGGTCACACCTGGTGATGCACAGGGGTTACTCCTGGCTCTGCACTCAGGAGTTACTCCTATGCTCAGGGGACCCTATGAGATACTGGGAATTGAATCCGGGTCAGCTGAGTGCAAGGCAAATGCCCTACCCACTTTGTTATTGCTCCAGTCCCAATCACATTAAACTCTTAAAGTGCTTCTTTTTCCCCTGTTGCTTACAGTTTCTATTTTTTTCTCAATTTATACTTGATCTTTCACATTTGAGATAATTTGATCATTACTTCACCATAGTGAAAAGAAAAATACTTTCCTCCTCACTCTTTCTCATCCATACAGACATAGACAGAAAATTTCCATCTCTTAGATACTATTATATCATTTCATTTCATTTTCATTTCATCATCCTGTTAATCGTCGATTGCCTCGAGCAGGCCCCAGTAACGTCTCTTTCATCCTAGCCCTGAGATTATATTCACGGCTCTTTAGGAGAATGAGACCCATCATTGTTACTGGTATTTGGCATATTTGGTAGGCCACGGGGAGTTTGCCAGACTCTGCCCTGTGGGCAGGCTACATTCGATAGCCTGCAAGTTTGTCCAAAGTAGGAATGAGATAATAAGATGTCATAATAAGATTCGTGGCCACGCGGTTCCGGGAGCTGGTTTTTATAGTCTCTGGGTCTTGGCCGTTGATGGGATTACACGGCGCCAGGGGACCAGTGGGTGGGTGTGACCCCCGCCTACTGGAGTTTGGGGAATCTGGGTCGAGGATGCCCTGCCCCAATCCAAGTAGGCTTGGAGATCTCGGCCCCGGAATCCACGTGACTTTGTCCCTCTGCCAGTACCTTCATGTGTGCGGAGAGTGGTCTCAGCATGGTGGTGGCTGGTCCTGGAGGTCTTCGGCTGCCGTAGCCCTGGTCGGGGCGGGGAGGAAAGCTCAACCCGCTCCCCTCCAAGGGACTCCGGGAAGGAACACCCAGGCGCGGGGGCAGAGACTGCACTTTTCTCGTCCGGGATCTGGATTTTATAGTCTCTGAGTCTTGGCCGCTGATGGGATTACACGGCGCCAGGGGGCCAGGTGGTGGGTGTGACCCCCGCCTACTGGAATTTGGAGGATCTGGGTGGAAGATGCTCGACTCCAAATCGAGTAGGCTTGGAGGTCTCGGCCCCGGAATGTGTTGGTGGCTTCTGGATGGATATTGGGCAGCCCAAGGATTTCCTCACTGGCATGTGCCTCTTCCTCCAGTCACTCCGACAGAAGCAACCTGAGCAGCTATGTTCAGGCCCTGGCATTGTGGGCAACGTGTTGGTGGCTTCTGGATGGATATTGGGCAGCCCAAGGATTATATCATAATTTATTGTTAAATCAATATTCAACATATACATTATCATGAATCTGAAAATATTCATGGCTAAATCATATATCATGATGCATTCTCAAATACATTTTATTATTTTATGAAGCTTATAGTGGCATCGTTTTCATATTTATTAGTTTTCTATGTACCAATTAATAATTCATCTTTTAATGCTCCAGAATTCTGCATCACATTTTATCAAACTCATATTCTCGTGAGCAAGAAAATGATGTTAGAACTTCGTCTTCTTTTTATTATCTAAAATAAAATTTCTCTTATGACTTGTTTCATGGCCATTATTTTGTTTACTGGAAATAATCTCCTATTTTAAAATTATTTCAAATTACAATGCACCAATGGAATGAAACACTATTTATTTGTAAAGAATACAGCATAAACTATTTTCCAAAATAGTATTGTTAAATTAAAAATGAAAAATGGGGGCTACGAAGATAGCACAGTGGGTAGGGCACTTGCTTTGCACCATCTGACCCGGGTTCATTCCCTGGCATCCCATATGGTGTCCTGAGCACAGTCAGGAGTAGTACCTGAGGGCAGATTCAGAAGTTACCCCTGAGAATCCTCTGGTATGGCCTCCAAACAAACAAACAAACAAGAAAAACAAAATGCTTAAGTCTATGTAGATAAACTTTTTATTAGTGTAAATTGTGGGTTACATAGTATATAAGTTTATATGGTATAAAGGTAAAGGCCCTCCCGTTGATCGTCGATTTGCTCGAGCGGGCCCAGTAACGTCTCCATTGGAGACTTTGTTGTTACTGTGTTTGGCATATCAAATACTCTCGGTAGCTTGCCAGGCTCTCTGAGAGGGGCGGAGGAATTGAACTCGGGTCGGCCATGTTGGCCGCTTGTAAGGCGAACGCACTACTGCTGTGCTATCGCTCCAGCCCTTTATATGGTATATTTAAACATATATATAGAAGTTCCTATAAGAAACTGATTATTGTAGTTATTCTAAAGAGGCATTTCAGAGATTGTTTTCCTTTTTAGCATACATATATATGTTACTTTTCAAAGACAAAAACAGTATTTAGATTTGTTAAGTGTTTCAGAGTCCTAAGCACTAACCATTACATGATGGTTGTTAGGTGATTCAAACTCCTTACCCACCACTCCATGCCAGGCTGTGGGGCGGGTGAGAGCCCTCCCCACCCCAAGGGACCCAGCCCTGGTAGCTGACCTCCATTGACCAACCACTGCCACGCTCCAGGCAGCTTTCCAGACGCTCAGGCTGAGCCTCACACAAGAATGAAGTCCCACAGAACCCAGATAATGTGGAGATTTGTGACCTTGGACTCTGGACTCAACAGGACCCAGAACAGAGATCCTCTGCTGCTTCCCCCAGTCTCTGGTGAATCAGGAATCACACCCATAAGCCACATCCTGACAGCACCAGATATTCTCCTCTTTGGGCCATCCTTCAGAACTCACGGATGCTCCTCCCAGACGGGAATATAAAAGGAGGCTTCCAGAACCATGCCACTGGACTCCACACCAGGCTGTGGGGTGGGTGAGAGCTCTTCCCACCCCAAGGGACCCAGCTCTGGCAGCTGACCTCCACTGCCCAACCACTGCCGCTCCAGGCCACTTTCCAGCCTTGCAACACATTATAAGACACTTCCTACCCATTTGTGCCTCTCACAGAACCTGGCAAGCTACTGAGAGTATCCTGCCCACACGAGCAGAGCCTGGCAAGCTCCCCATGGCATATTCGACATGCCAAATACAGTAATGACAATAGGTATCATTCCCCTGACCCTGAAAGAGCCTCCAATCGTTGGGAAAAGATGAGTAAAAAGAGGCTGCTAAGACCTTAGGACTCAGATGAATAGAGATGTTACTGGTGCCCACTCAAGTAATTCGATGACCAATGGGATGACAGTGATACAGTGATACCCACCACTATATAAAAACTGAAATTTATTTTATGGAATTATTGTTGCCTATGTTTGAAAATTTATGGATGCTAGAAGTGACAGAAATAAAATAGATTATGGATGGAATCAAGGAGACCAATTGAAAGGCTATTGCAATAACCGGTAGGAGATAGTTGCTTTTTTCTGAAATGATAGTCATGACTATTGAGAAATGACCAACATTGGGAGAAATCAATAAGAGATGTGGAAGCACACATAGATATACAAAAACACAAGGAGACCACATTTTATTGACAACTGAGTCCAGTTTTATGCAAAGTTAAAATGGTTCATAGTAAGTATGCAAAGTTTATTAGCATTTACATAAATTCAATACAACAAATTTTATACATTGGAGTCTCTTTAACTTAGTTAATATGGAAAAATCACAGGATTGTTTTAGCAGAAACTTGAAAAATGCACATATATATTCATATATATATATATATATATATATATAGAGAGAGAGAGAGAGAGAGAGAGAGAGAGAGAGAGAACAGCACAGAGTCTCTTGCCTCTGCGCCTGGCTGTCCTTACTAGGGCCCCTTGGAGGAGGGTGGGTTGAGCTTCCCTCCCCTCCCCGAGCAGAACCCCAGCAGCTGAAGACCTCTGGTTCAAGCCACAGCCATGCTTAAGACCACTCTCCACACGTTTGAACAAGCTTCACGCATGAAGGAACCATCAGAGGAACCCAGGTGTGCGGGACCTGGGGTGTAGATCTCCAAGCCTGCTCAGATTGGGACTGGGGCCTCCTCCACCCAGATCCCCCATCTTCTAGTATGTAGGCATTACACCCACCAACTGCCCCCGGTGCCATATAATCCCATCAACGGCCAAGACCCAGAGACTATAAAACCCTGTTCCTGGAAGCATGCAGCCACAAGGGTGGCCGTGCGACATCTTATTACCTAGTTCTTACTCTAGAGAACCTGGCAGGCTATCAAAAGTATCCTGCCCACACGGCAGAGTCTGGGAAACTCCCTGTGGCGTATTCAATACGCCAAAAAAACCAGTAACAATCATGGGTCTCATTCTCTTGACCCTGAAAGAGCCTTGAATGTGGCACTTTTTAAAATCTCAGGGCTAGGACAAAGGAGATGTTACTGGAGCCTGCTCACGGCAATTTATGAACAATAGGATAACAGTGATAGGCACATAAATAATCAATGGCAAAGTTACAGCGTTGTTTCAGCAGAAACTTGAAACACACACACACACACACACACACACACACACACACACACACACACACGGCCATCAACGGCCAAGACACAGAGACTATAAAACCCAGCTCCTGGAAGCCCGCGGCCGCATTTGTGACTGTGCAACATCTTATTTTTTCCTTTGGAGAACCTGGCAGGCAAATAGACTAAAAAGCTGCTACCTGGAATTTTTGCATAAATCCAGGAAATATCAGCAAATTGAGAATTTTAAGGAAAACCATTATATTTTCTTGACACTGATGTGACTGATTAACACTACATCTATCACAAAAGCCTATTTTCATAATGTTAAAATGATGGCTTACTTGTTAGTTTGAACCATAAGTAAACAATTTACAGAAATGAGTTGAAATTATAATTCTTCCTAAGCACAATATAAAATATAGAAATCAGGTCAAGAAAGAATCTACAAATTTAATGATGCATTTGATAGCTTTCCAAGGAATAGGGCTTGAAGGCTTTCTTTAATAATTTTTATATATTTCATAAGACATACTGGAGTGATAGCACAGCGGGTAGGGCGTTCGCCTTACAAGCGGCCAACATGGCCGACCCGAGTTCGAGTCCTCCGCCCCTCTCGGAGAGCCTGGCAAGCTACCGAGAGTATTTGATATGCCAGACACAGTAACAACAAAAGTCTCCAATGGAGACGTTACTGGGCCCGCTCAAGCAAATCGACGATCAACGGGAGGGCCTTTACCTTTACCTTTACCTATAAGAGTAAAATGTCATATTTAAAAATGAGGGGCTGAAGTGATAGCACAGTGAATAGGGCTTTTGCTTTGCACATGGTCGACCCAGAATCCCATATGGTCCCCCGAGCACCGCCAGGAGTGATTCCTGAGTGCAGAGCCAGGAGTAACCGCTGAGCATTGCTGGGTGTGACCCAAAAAAGCAAAAAAAAAAAAAAAGATTGATGTGTGCAAGCACTTTCATCTATCTGCTAAAGTCATCCCCAGAAATTTTCCCATAATGCAAAGTAAATCCATTTCAACTCTTGTGAAAGATAAATCTGATTCATAAGTATCATTTATGTCAGGAATCAGCAATGTGAATGTGAGTTTTGTAAAGGTGCTCTAGATAGGATTTTCCACTCAAAAATAACTTTAGAATGGGAAAAAATGGGGAAAGAGATAAAGTTCTTGCCTTACACACGGTCAACTCTGCTTTGATCCCTGGAACCATTTTTGATCACCTGATACCACCCCACTTCACCCTGTCATAGGAGTTACCCTGGAATACAGAGCCAGGTGAGAGCGCCGAATCCTAACCACTAGACCACCAGGGAGCGCAATAGCACAGCGGTAGGGCGTTTGCCTTGCACGCAACCAACATGGCCGACCCGAGTTCGATTCCTCTGCCCCTCTCGGAGAGCCCGGCAAGCTACCGAGAGTATCTCGCCCGCATGGCAGAGCCTGGCAAGCTCCCCGATATGCCAAACACAGTAACAACAAAGTCTCCAATGGAGACGTTACTGGGCCCGCTTGAGCAAATCAATGAACAACGGGAGGGCCTTTACTTTACTTTGCCTTTACTTTACTTTACTTTACTTTACTCTGGCCAGGCAAGCTACCGAGAGTATTGGATATGCCAGACACAGTAACAACAAAGTCTCCAATGGAGACGTTACTGGGCCCGCTCGAGCAAATCGATGATCAACGGGAGGGCCTTTACTTACTTACTTACTTACTTTTACAGAGCCAGGAGAAAGCCTTGAGCATAAGTGTCTGTATCCCCAAGCATCAATAGTACAGAAAAAGAACTTAAGTCAGTTTGAGATTCCCTGCTTTGAGGAGATATTGAGGATGGAAATGGAAGTAAATGTTTTTTAAGGTAGATTTTTTATTTTTCTGTAAAAGTGACTACCATAATTCAGAATCATTTGATGTGTTGTTTAAAAAATAGCTTCCTTATAGAATATCAATCTAATAACAGAAAGTATGAAAAAGTCTGAAAATGAATAATCAAATAAGCTGAGGTATAAAACACTTGTGCTGGTTTGGTTTCATAATGGTTTTATGCTGTAATTGAAATACCTCCCCTTGCATTTTAAGAGCTAAGTACTGTAGCACTGTAGCACTGTCCTCCCGTTGTTCATTGAATTGCTCCAGTGGGCACTAGTAACGTCTCCATTGTGAGACTTGTTGTTACTGTGTTTGGCATATCAAATACGTCAAGGATAGTTTGCCAGGCTTTGCGGTCCGGGCAGGATACTCTCGGTAGCTTGCCGGGTTCTCTGAGAGGGGCTTTAAGAAGCTGACCAAAAGAAAGAATAACTAAGGTTGTCTTATTTAAATCTTTCTGTTAGATATGTGATCCATGACACTTATTGAAAAATCAATATTCTAAAATACCATCAAGGGAAAAAAATTAACAAAACTGGATGATCACAGAAAAGATTGATTCTTCCACTGAAACACCACACAAAAGGATGCTAACATGAATGAATTAAACAAAAATAAATAAGGCCATCAGGACGACAGATGTTTGATGTTCCAGAGGTTCTCTCCATTCCAGTAATGGCTGTATATTCTTCCTCATCCTAAATGGGTCTTCTTTCCTGTCTCGTTGTGGCACGAGAGTGCCTTTTCTAGTCGACTCTTACTCCAGGAGCCTTACATATATAACTTCTTGCAAAGTTACAAGAAATATTCTTCCTGACCCACTTGTCTTGGTCATTGACAAGTGCAAGACAGTATTCTTCCGGATTGTTGCTGGGTTCACCCTGATACTGGAATCTGAAATGGAAAAAAAAAAAGATAGATACTTTTTTTTTGCTGTAGAAATAACTACCATAATTCAGAACCATTTCATACTGTTGTTTTAAAAAAATTACTTGCTTATAAGCATCAATCTAATAACAGAAAGTATGAAAAAGTCTGAAAATGAATAATCAAATAAGAGGAGGTTAAAGAAACTTGTGCTATTTTGGTTTCATAATGGTATCACACGTTAATTGAAATTTCTCCCCTTGCACTGTAAGAGCTAAGAACCTGGACCAAAAGAACTAAGGTTGTCTTATTTAAATCATTCTGTTAGGCTGGAGCGATAGCACAGCGGTAGGGTGTTTGCCTTGCATGCAGCCAACATGGCTGACCCGAGTTCGATTCCTCCGCCCCTCTCGGAGAGCCCAGCAAGCTACCGAGAGTATCTCGCCCGCAGGGCAGAGCCTGGCAAGCTCCCCGTGACGTATTCGATATGCCAAACACAGTAACAACAAAGTCTCCAATGGAGACGTTACTGGGCCCGCTCGAGCAAATCGATGAACAACGGGAGGACAGTGATACAGTGATTCTGTTAGATATGTGATCCATGACACTACTTGAAAAGCAAATATTCAGGGCTGAAACGATAGCACAGCAGGAAGGACATTTGCCTTGCACGCGGCCATCCCGGGTTCGATTCCTCCATCCCTCTCAGAGAGCCCGGCAAGCTACCAAGAGTATCACACTCGCACAGCAGAGCCTGGCAAGCTCCCCGTGGTGTATTCGATATGCCAAAAACAGTAACAAGTCTCACAATGGAGACGTTACTGGTGCCTGCTCAAGCAAATCGATGAGCAACGGGAGGACAGTGCTACAGTGCTACAGTGTTTGCATGTATGTGTGGGGAGGGGACAGTGGTGGTGAAGTTGTGGGGGAAGATTCCAGGAAACAAGGCAGAGAAAACACCTGTAGTGAAAAATATAAAGTTACAAGATAGCTCAGTGGGCTGAGTGCCTGCTTTGCATGCAGGAGACCTGGGTTTGATTCCCAGCACAACATGGTCCCTGAGCACCATCAGGAGTGACCCCTTCTGTAGGAGGACCCCCTAAGGTACCACTGGTTCTACCCAAAAATCAACAAACAAAAGCAGAAGTGCTGTCTAATACTCCAATTCCATATAAGGTACTAGTTCAAAAGCTACCTAACATACTATTGCTCTACTCTGAATCAGCACTCACTTTCACATCAGTATAATTTACCCTGGATCAATTCTGCTTACTCCCTTTGCCAATAAGATTTTCACGTCAGTCAATATACTCACTCCATGCGTGGGTTAAATGGTGTGTTGTCCACCCAGTACCACTTATCTTCAACGTTATCATCTGTAGGTCCGAGGAAATATGAAAATCGTCTATCCAAAAACTGAATAATAAAGTTCTGAAAAGAATGTAGATTTTAATCAGTACATTTGCTATTACCATGTGATAACTGTTATGTTATAAATAAAGAAAAGAAAACAACTAGATCATTAGTTAATAATAAAATTAATTGGCCTCAGATAAATCTGTGCCCAAATTCTGACTCTGTCATATGAAGATGTGATTCAACCTCACCAAACTTCATTGTTTTCTCATCTCCACGGGGAAAACTCCACCACTCTGTACATTCAGTGTGAGGAGTAAAGATAGATTGCAAATCTATCTTTAAATAAAAATAAAATATTCCAAGCAACACTTGTGACAAAATTAAAAGTAGAATTTGAGTTATGGTACCTGTGTAGAGAAATAAGTTACCTGAGGAAATCAATTTGACTTTCTGTTTTGAATTCAGAAATTTAATTTTTTTTTCATTTAGCATCAAAGCTACCTGGATTATTTTTCTTAAGTTTTCTCCTGAGAGACAATTTTAGTCCCGATGAATCTACCGTTACCGACTTACTCACCCAACATTTATCAAGCTCCCTGTAAGAGTGCTTAGCACTGAGCAGAATGTGGGAGAAACAAAAATAATGCAGGGGCCAAGTCCAGGATAACATCAAAGTCATGGGAAGAGATGGAGATAGAGAACAGGGTGGTCAAATGCCACGAGAAAAAGCCTCCAACTGAGAATAGAAAGGCGAAAGTAGGGAAGGTAACTGGGAAAACTTTCTGGAGGAAATAATCCAGGAATCAAAACTAGAAAAACTTGGGGCTGGAGCGATAGGGCATTTGCCTTGCATGTGGCCGACCCGGGTTCGATTCCCAGCATCTCGTATGGTCCTCCCGAGCACCACCAGGAGTAATTCCTGAGTCCAGAGCCAGGAGGAACCCTGTGCATCGCCAGGTGTGACCCATAAAGCAAAAACAAACAAACAAAAAAAAAAACAAACTAGAAAAACTAGAAAACATTAAAAAAAAATTAGAAAATGAGTAGAGAAGTGAGAGAGGAAGGAGATGCTTTCCAGGCAGGTGGAACAGTAAGGCAAAGGCACAAAGGCAGAGGGGCACAGAGCAATTCCTCTTTCTCTGCAGAGGTGGAAATCCGCAGACACATACCTGCTCAGCTTCGTTGCTGATGGAGGCCAGGTGAGCCCCCAGACTCCGACAAGGACTCTCAGTTTCAGCCCATATCTTCTTGCTATTGAAAGGCAAATAGCAGTGGGACTGGAACACCTTCCAGCCAACAGGACAGCAATTCCAGGCACTCCCTTACACGAAGATCGAAATGAAAATGTGTTACAAAGATGCGTTGAATTTGTAATAAAACTGCATTATTCAAAACAGCCCTGCATTATTCATACTTATCATTAATATTATTTCTATTTATAAATGGATATACTTATTAAATAAAATATTATTTAATTAGCGTGTTTTAATAAAGTATCATTCATATCTGTTATTCATTTTTCGTAGTCATCTACTTAATGTCCAAATAACATATATGAGAGTCATGCAGGATTATCAGAATAATCCTGTTCAACTCCATCCTTAAAAAAGATCCCTGAAACTTTCATTTCTAAATATTTTCTAAAGAAAACGATGTGACTCGCATAGTTGCTATGAGAAAAGAAAGTTATGAGGTATTTGTAGTCTTTTTTCAACCATCTCCATATCTACTTACTTTTGCATTTTAAGAACTTCCAAAACAAAACCTTCTGCAGGGCATTATAGCTGAAGGGGACAAAGACCTGCTAAAACACCCATATAGTTCCCCATTTTCTCAAACGAGACTTAACAAAGTCCAGAATAAAAAAATAAAGATCAAACAATGCTCTATATTCTATGTGGAAACATTCTTTATGATATATCTGAATCAGAAGAAAATGGAATTTGGGGACTGGAGTGATAGCACAATGGGTAGGGCATTTGCCTTGCATGCCATTGACCTGGGCTCAATTTCCAGCATGCCATATGGTCCCCTGAGCATCTGCTAGGAGTAATTTCTGAGTACAGAGCCAGGAGTAACCCCTGAGCATCACTGGGTGTGACCCAAAAAGAAGAAAAAAAAAGAAAAAGAAGGAATTTGGGACCAGAGAGATAGTAAAGTGAGTAGGGTGCTTGCCTTGCACAGAACTCACCCAGCTTCAATTCCCGGCACCCCATATAGTCCCCTGACCCCCAGCAAGAGTGATACCTGAGTGTAGAGCCAGGAGTAAGCCCTGAGAACCTCTGGGTGTGGACCCCAAACAAATGAACAAACACAAAAAAAACAAAATTAATTATGCTTCAGATGCTCTAAACGGCCCATACATGTGTTGTTATATTCTCTAGGTATTCCATTGATTATAGTCATGAGAAAGAATTTTATCTCAATTTACTACTTTCTGTGGGGGAAGGAGAGGAGGAAAATGGGGTGCTGCCCAGCAGTGCTTGAGGGCCCATGGTCATCCTGGCCAAAGGGTTCAGTGAGAGGGTCAGGCAAGGTCTAGCTGCGTGGTCCTGGCAGTATAGAAGACACCATGACTATAGCCAGTGGTACTAGGAGGGAGTCCTACAGTTCCAGGGATCAAACTTGAGGTCTCCAAGCCTTCACATTACAGAACATGAGATCCAGACCTTTGTACTGACTCTCCAGCCCTCTGATGTTCATTCTTGTGCCAGATTACCATTTTCTGTTATTTCACTGTGTCCTAGATGAGTGCTGATAGACTGACAATCAGATCATGAAAGGACAGTAGAGATAAGGGCCAGGAGGATCGCACTACAGTTTGGAAAACAGCCTCACATGCTGGTAGAAAAAGCAGTTGGGATAGAGAAGGGACCACTCTGATGCTTGGAGGAATCGCTTGAGATGGGAGATGCGTACTGAAAGTAGACTATGGACCAAACATGATGGCCTCTTAGTACCTGTATTGCAAACCATAACACCCAAAAGGAGAAAGAGGGAATGTGCCTGCCACAGAGGCCGGGGCAGGAAGGGGTGGGGGTGGCGGGAGGGATACTGGGAATATTGGTAGTGGGGAATGGGCACTGGTGTGGGATGAGTACTTGTTCATTGTACGACCGAAATGTAATCATGAAAGTCTGCAAGTCTATAACTGTATCTCATGGGGATTCAATAAATAAATAAATAAGATCATAAATCTGAATGAAAATGGAAATAATAAAAAAAATAATCTTGGGCTTCCGGTCACGTGTACCTTTCAGTGCTGGTTGCTCTCTGCTACACGTCAGCTTCACATGGTCCTCTGGCAAAATGATCTCTTCCATGCCTCTTTTACAGCGGGCAAAGTTGTAGTGTGTGACTGTAAGGGAAAGGGAAAAAATGAGTTTCCTTCCTCTCTGCAGTTATTTAATAAGGAATTGAGGTCCCAGGTTGCTAATCTTTCTCTTACTCTAATAGTTAAGGGCTCACAGTCTCCTTAAATTGATTATAGTCTCTTTTCCTCTCCATACAGTGCTTTTGTTTCAGCTAGAGTTGAAGGACTGGAGCGATAGCACAGCGGTAGGGTGTTTGCCTTGCATGAGGCCCACCCCGGTTCGATTCCTCCGCCCCTCTCAGAGAGCCTGGCAAGCTACCGAGAGTATCCCGCCCGCATGGCAGAGCCTGGCAAGGTCCCCGTGGCGTATTTGTTATGCCAAAAACAGTAACAAGTCTCACAATTTGTTGTGAGACATTATTAGTGCCTGCTAGAGCAACTTGATCAACAACCGAAGGACTGTGCTACAGAGTTGAAGGCAATAGCTGAAAATTAGCATTTTTATCATCGCATTACCCAGTGTTTTATGGGAATGTTTCGAAAACCTTCAACTGAAGGTGCTTTGACTTAGGCCTTGCACATGCCTTGCCTGCAACCAACCCAGGTTTGACCCCCCATGTTTCATAGGGTCCCCCAAGAACCACCAGAAATGACTCCTGAGCACAGAGGTAGGAGTAGGCCCTGAGACACTGAACAACCATCAGGAATGGTTTAAACACAAAGAGTTTTCCTTGGGGCAAAGAGATAATACAGGGGCTGGAGCTATGCGTTTGCCTTGCGCGTGGTTCGAGTCCCAGCATCCCATATGGTCCCCTGAGCACCGCCAGGAGTAATTCCTGAGTGCAGAGCCAGGAGTAACCCCTGAGCATAGCCAGGTGTGACCCAAAAAGCCAAAAAAAAAAAAAAAAGATAGTACAGATTTCTTTGAAAGTGTTCAACCTGGCTTGAATCCCCAGCACCACCTATGACATATTTAGGAGGGGAGTTGCTAGTAATAGTAGCAGCAATTTACTGAAAGACCATCTGTTCCACAGAACCATCATTAAAAAAATATAATTTATTAAATCGCTGTAAATTACAAATTTACAAAATCATTTATGACTGAGTGCTATCACTCCTAGCACAGCAGTAGGGTGTTTGCCTTGCACGCAGTCAGCCCAGCCGAGCTGGGTTCAATTCCTCCGCCCCTCTCAGGGAGCCCAGCAAGCTACTGAGAGTATCTCGCCCGCATGGCAAAGCCTGGCAAGCTACCCGTGATGTATTCGATATGCCAAACACAGTAACAACAAGTCTCAAAATGGAGACGTTACTGGGCCCGCTCGAGTAAATCGATGGACAACAGGAGGACAGTGCTGCCATACAGTTCCAGAGGTATAATGTGCGATCACCAGTCCCATCACCAGTGCCCTCATCTCTCCATCCATGTTCCCAGCTTCCCTCACTCCCTCAAATCTGCCTTTTTGGCAGACTCTTCTCATTTTCTTTATTCCCTTTAGGTACTTTGATTTACAATATTGTTACTGGTTGGTTATCATGCCCATAACTTTACCTTATTTTGGTTGCCAAATACTTTTTTTTAATTGTTATCATCTGAGTATATTCACAGTACTATGTGAGCACTGCACTGTCCTCCCATTGTTCATTGATTTGCTGGAGCAGGTCCCAGTAATGTTCCCATTGTGAGACTTTGTTGTTACTGTTTTTGGCATATCAAATATGCCATGAGGAACTTGCCAGGCTCTGCCGTGTAGGCAGGATACTCTCGGTAGCTTGCCGGGCTCTCTGAGAAGGACGAAGGAATCAAACCTGGGTGGGCCGCATGCAAGGCAAATGCCCTACTTGCTGTGGTATCACTCCAGCCCACATACAAATTTAACTTTCATTTTCCCTGAAAATTCATAAGGTTGATATTTTTATTTCATTGTTTCTTCTCTGTAGTCCAGAAAAAGAAATATATAAGACTTTGATTATTTTTCTATGCTATTGCCAATAATCTTCCTAATCATTTTGACTATCCATTTGAAATAGCTGTCAATATATTTGGCACAATGGTTATTGATTAATCCAATGCATTACAAATATCTTCTGTGACCTTTTTGTTTTTAATCTTGGTCGCATTTTTGTTGTATGATAATTCTTACTTTACTATAGTACTTGTTAACATTTTTTCTGTTGACTTGTTTTCTACATTTTGGCCTATAATCCACTCTCAGCAGAGTTGAGAACATGGTACACGTGACAGAAGAACAACTTCACTTTTTGAATGTGATGTTCTAACGCATGAACCAAACACGATTATCTCTTCCCTATAACTGTTTGCATAGAACGCACATACAAAACATGTGCAACTAAGTTCTTCAGCTTGTTTCCTCTTCTCTATTTGTCTACACTTGCACCTCTGCTAAATTACTCGTAATTTTACGGAAGGTCTTGATATCAGAGAGAACAAGACTTCCAGTATATTTTTTTCAAAGCCAAGCTACTTCATTCTGAATAATGGATTTACGTTGATTATTCTTTTCTTTTTTAAAAATTTTTATTAGTGAAACACCTAGAAGTATCAATGTAGACTTATAAACATTTGTGCTTGGGTTTCAGTTATACAATGATCGAGTACTCATCCCTCCACCAGTGCCCATTCTCCACCACCAATGATCCCATTAATCCCCCCACCCCCCACCCCGCCTTTCATTGATTATTCTTAATCATAGAATTAAGACCTTTGCTTTCCAGCATAAAATGGGGAACCTAAGGAAAGTTTTTTGGGGGAAAAAATTCAGGAAGTGGTCCACTTTTGCCAGTAACTTACTCAAAGAGCTTGCAATAAAGCAGGCACCAAGAAGTGAGATAAAAACAACAGCAATGGTCCAGGGCATAAGCTGGGAATATCCAAATCCTTCTGAAAATCAAAAGAAAGAGAAATTGTTGTTCTTTTCTAGGCCACAGAATTAGGGAAGCTAACTAATATTATCAAGCAACAAACTTAAGTATGAAATCATCTAAAATGTTTTAGATATAAATAAGGACCTCAAGATTCATTAGCAGATCAACTAATAGAAGCTACCGAGAGTATTTGATATGCCAGACACAGTAACAACAAAGTCTCCAATGGAGACGTTACTGGACCCGCTCGAGCAAATCGATGATCAACGGGAGGGCCTTTACCTTTACCTTTTACCTTAATAGACAATAAATAGATATGCTAATAATATATCAACAGATAAGAACAATATAGACACCTTCTAGGAATATGAGTGACTTTTTTAAATTTAAAAAATTTATAATAATTTTTTAATAGAATCACAGTGAGAAACACAGTTACAAAGTTGTTCATGATTAGGTTACAGCACCTGATCCTTTACCAATGCAAGTTTCCTACCACCATTGTCCCCAGTTTCCCTCTTGTCCTCCCACCTCTATGGCAAGTACTTTTCTTCTCTCTCTCTTGCTCTCTCTCTCTCTCTCTCTCTATATATATATATATACATATATATATTTGGAGCCTTATGGTTTGCAATACAGATTCTGAAAGATTGTCAGGTATATCCAATAATGAGTGGTTTTTCATATGCAAGACATAAAACTCAAAGTTGATAATTTTTTTTTTTCCTTTTTGGGTCACACCCGGCGATGCTGAGGGGTTACTCCTGGCTCATGCACTCAGGAATCTCTCCTGGCGGTGCTCGGGGGACCATATGGGATGCTGGGAATCGAACCTGTGTTGGCCATGTTGACTGCATGCAAGGCAAATGCCCTACCCGCTGTGCTACTGCTCCAGCCAAAAGTTGATAATTTTTATACCCAAACATTAAAATCTTTATATGATACAAATAATGTTAAAACACATAGAAGAGAAGTCTAATTTGTTGTTATTATAAATGGACGTTTAAACAAATAAATGTATGTCCAACCAGAGAAACATAAACTAAAATACTATGGAATAGTTTTTCATGGACCAAATTTGCTTACATTTGCAAATATGTAGTGTTGGTAAGACTGAGTACGCACTCAGTGAAAAAAATAAACTCCACAGCCCACACTTGTGAATGAGTGTTTCAGATCAAGGTCACAACCATCTATACATTTTAAAAATTCATTACGCTTACCATGTAATGTAATTTCAATTCTAGGAATGTATGCTGTACAAATTACTGAATGTTGGGGCTGGAGCATAGGGCCTTTGCCTTGCATGCGGCAGACCCGGGTTCGATTCCCAGCATCCCATATAGTTCCCCAAGCACCGCCAAGAGTAATTCCTGAGCGCATAAGCCAGGAGTAACCTCTGTGCATTGCTGGGTGTGACCCCAAAAGCAAAATAAATAAATAAACACTGAATGTGGGGGCAGGTTGTGATGGTAGAGCATGGGTGATGCACTTGCAAGACCCTGATGCATGACCTTCTTATACTGGCATGTGTACCTCAGGGCCATGAACTCCACTAGGTCCTCACCCCATCACTGTCATTGTCACTGTCCTCCCATTGTCCATCAGTTTGCTTGAGCGGACCCAGTAACATCTCCATTGTGACACTTGTTACTGTGTTTGGCATATTGAATACGTCATGGGGAGCTTATCAGGCTTTGCCGTGCGAGTGAGATACTCTCAGTAGCTTGCCGGGCTCTTTGAGAGGGATGGAGGAATAGAATCTGGATCGGCCGGGTGCAAGGCAAACGCCCTACCCGCTGTGCTATCGCTACAGCCCCCTCACCTCATATAAAGCAGAGTTAAGTGAATTTATTTATATCAAAGTAAAGTTCATTGCAGTACTTTGGGAAAAATTGGCTTTAAATCTATAAGGACTGGAAGAAAGTAGAGTAGCTATCACATACCTAACATGCATCCAACCTGGGTTGGATTTTCAAACACCACATGGTTCCTAAGTTTTACCAGGTACAGTCACTGGAGGTCCCTCCCCGAAATGCTAGGGTGACCTGGGCAATCCCTGGTACCACAGGACCCAGAGCAATATCACATTTTCAAGCCCTGGAATTAAATTGCCAGACTGGTTGGTGGAGAATCACTAGTGGTGCTCCCAGGGTTTCCTGAGTACTGCTTGGAAGACACTCCCCCAAAATGAGTAAGTAAAACTTGAAAACTAATACTTACATTTGCATTATCTGAAGAATTCTAAATCATGGTGACTGTGTACAATGGAATTCAGTATAGCAATTGAAATATTTGCATATATATGTGTGTGTAGAGTTGTATTAAAAATATCTAAGCCATGTTATTACATTAAAAGGTACTTTTCAAGACTATGGTACTATTAGAGTCCCATTAAAGTGCGTTCTGGTAAGATGATGAGATGAAGTAAAACTTTACTTAGAAAGTTATATATTGCTTCATTTGATCTTTACACTTCTCAAAAACATTATTTAATATTTTTGCAATGTAAGTCCATTTGAGTCACTTAATAGGTAAAGTCAAAACTTCAGGTTAGACTAGAAAGATAGTACAGTGGGTTGGGCACTTGCCTTGCAGTACACCTACCAGGGTTCAATCCCCAGCATCCTAGATGATCCCCTGAGCACTGCCAGAAGTAACTACTGAGGGTTGAGCCAGAAGTAACCCCAGAGCAAGGACAGGTATGGCCTCCCAAATAAAAACATAACAAAAAACATAACAAAACAAACAAAATTCTCAGATATACTCTTAGTAGTTATATTTTATATATTCTCTCTTATTCTCCCTTCAATTTGAATGGATCTTCTCAAATTATTCTTTCCATGTTATTTTCTTTCCACGTGATTCATTTTACCAGTTATGAAGATAATTCTATTTATGACATTCTTTTCAGCAAATATTCTCATTTCCTTTAACTCCTCCCCTCCTTAATCACCACCTTTAATCTTCACAATAACCATCAATTCTTATTTCTAAATCTAGGTCATAATTGCACCTGCCTCTTTAAAATTGAAAGGAAAACACTCACGTCTCTTCAGAGGTTCTTCGTGCCCCATTGTGTACTTTCTTATAATCCCGTTGGAAGGACACGCAGCTTCTTATTTTTTTCCCAAAAGTGTAATTTTGTGTGTGTAAAGGAATATATTCAGAAGCCCTTAGGATTGAACATAAATCTTACCTATTCTGGTTAGATTATCAAGTTTCTAACATAAGATAGTTAACTCAAAAGGAGTCTTTTCAGACTGCAGTTTCCTTTTTTTCACACTGGGAGAGAGAGCAAAGAGAAGAGGAAGTTGAGAAAGCAGCACTCAAAAAAAAAAAGTACAAAATGCCCATAAATATGCTGAGATTACCAAATCAACATGCCATATAGAATTTCTTAATCAAAAGGTGGTAGAATTGTTGATTCGATTCCAAAATCTTCCTAGATGAGAGAAAATTAATTTGTAAAAGGTAACTGAAATGAAGTATAATATTCTGTGACAAAGATTTCATCAAGTTCCTGATTTAATTTTCAATAACTAGTCATGAACTGAAGTTTGTGTTCACCCTTCATACACATGCATGTCCGATTGCATCTTATTTTGGACTTCTTGACTTCCAGAACTGTGAAAAATAAATGTCCTATTTTTATACCATCCAGTTTGTGATATTTTGACCTAGCAGTTCAAATATGAGAAGTACCCAGAAGCTTAGAGATTCTTCTTAAATGCTCAGTTCCAGAATATGGTCTTTACCTGTGCACTTCCTTAATATCCAATATTATTTTAAGTGTATATGTATCTTTTTTATTTTAAAAATATTTTTATTTACTCATATATCTAAATGTGACCTCATGAAGCACATAGTGCTGTTTACATACCTATTCAGATACTATTATTAATCTAACTTTTTTTTGCTTCACATTTAAATGCTCTGAATGGATAAGAGTATTATGGATAAGTTAGGATTTTAACAGCCCTCAGATCTTTTTTTATTCCTTAAATTTTTATTAGTGAAACACCATGATTTACATTTGTAGACTTACAAATATTTGTGCTTGAGTTTCAGTTATACAATGATAGAATAATGATCAAATAATGATAATACACTGATCCCTCCACCAGTCCCCATTCTTCACCACCACCAGTCCCAGTATCCCTCCCACTCCCCATCCCCTCATCCCACCCTACCTCTGTGGCAGGGCATTCCCTTTTGTTATCTTTCTCCTTTTGAGCCCTCAGATCTTAATGTGTACATGTATCATTATAGATAGACCGATAGATAGATACTATTTTTTTGGTATTTATTCCAAGGACACAAAAAAGCACTAATAAAAAATGATGTGTGCATGTCTAAGCTTATACAGAAAATGTTTATACAGAAATAAGATAGTCTACTATTCTATTCTTGCATATTATGCCTCAGAACCAGGAAGGAAAGTCTTGGATGACAATTATGAATAGGCCTAGAGAGTAATAAAGTTCACTGGGGAGCAGCAGCAGGAGACCTCAGAGAAAACCTGATTGAGGTAGAAAAAATATATATACACATATATACATATATGAGTGCATATATATGTGTATATATATATATATTAGACAGGGTACTTAAGAATAATCTTCTAAGAGGCTGGAGCGATACCACAGTGGGTAGGGCATTTGCTTTGCACGCGGCCCACTCAGGTTTGATCCCCAGCATCCTATATGGTCCTCTGAGCACCACCAGGAGTAACTCCTGAGTGTAGAGCCAGGAGTAACCCCTGAGCATCACTGGGTGTGACCCCCCCCAAAATAAAAAGAATAATCTTCTAAAATAATATATTGATACATGAGGGAGAGGAGGAGGAGGAGGAAAAGGAGAAGGAGGAGGAGCAAGAGGAGGAGGAGGAGAGGAAAGAAGGAGGAGGAGAAGGAGGAGGAGGAAGAGGAGGAGGAGGAAGAGGAGAAGTAGGACGAGCAAGAGGAGGAGGAGAGGAAAGAAGGAGGAGGAAGAGGAGGAGGAGGAGGAGGAGGGGGGAGCACAAAGATCTATATTGATTGAGAAAATTTTTGAATACTTTATTTTAACATTGGAATTTTCCTACTGAGGTTTGTGGGGAAGGATAAGAATTTTTTTGGTCAATAAGAAAGCTCATGTAAATAACCCAAGCAATATACCATGGAAAATTTGAGTAGCAGCAGATGTTAGATATAAAGTAATAATAGTTAACATTCAGGGGCTGGAGTGGTAGCACAGCGGGTAGGGAGTTTGCCTCGCACGCGGTCAACCTGGGTTCGATTCCCAGCATCCCACATGGTCCCCGAAGCACCATCAGGAGTAATTCCTGAGTGCAGAGCCCGGAGTAACACCTGTGCATCGCTGGGTGTGACCAAGCTCTGTTCTGACTATTCAAAAGAAAGACAATGCCATTATTTCTCCTATTTGGCAAGAACATATCAAAATTTTTAAAAAGTTCAAAACTTGCCTGATGGGGCTGGAGAGATAGCACAGCAGGTGGGGCATTTGCCGTGCACGTGGCCGACCCGGGTTCGATTCCCAGCATCCCATATGGTCCCCTAAGCACTGCTAGGAGTAACTCCTGAGTGCAGAGCCAAGAGAAACCCCTGTGCATTGCCGGGTGTGACCCCACCAAAAAAGCAAAAAAAAAAAAAACCTTGCCTGAGTTCCGTGAAGAGTGGATAAAAAAATTGAGACTCAGGTCTAGGTTACACAACCCTGTTCACTGGCTTTTAGATTGCAGTCCTCGGAAAAAAGGATATTTTGACGGGAAAATGTCACCAACGAACACTAGCTGACAAGAAAACTTAAAAATATACTAACAGGAAATAATATGAAAATCATGGTTGGGTGGCCTGACAAAAGGGTTCTGCAAGACATTCACCAACAACAATGATGATGAAACCCACAGAGAAACAGCATGGGAACCATAGCAACTAGTCAGTGTCTCAATGGGGACAGTCACTTCCTCTTTTGATGGGCAAATAAAGAACTCTGACCTTGGACAATACGCTTCTCAGAGGTAGCGCGTGTCAGTGAAAACCAGAAAACTGTGTAAGTGAGTTAGTTTTGACCCACAGCAAAGAACTTAGTTTCTCTCCATAATTGTGGATCATCCTACAAAGCCAAATGGTAACCAAAGATATTAATTTACCAAAGACCTTTTTTTCCTTTTTGGGTCACATCCAGCAATCCACTCAGGAATTACTCCTGGCTGTGCTTGGGGGACCATATGGAATGCTGGGAATCGAACCCGGGTCGGCCACGTGCAAGACAAATGCCGTACCTGCTGTCCTATCATTCCAGCCCCACCAAAGACATTTTTTCCACCAGAATCTATTCTTCCAGAATATTGATTTCCAGTGATGATCAGGGGACCACTGGTGCCAGGGACTGAATCCAGGTTTCCTACATGTGCTCAACTCACTGAGCTATCTCTATGGCTCCTGGCTATTTATTTTATTTTATTTCCTTTTTTGTAGGAGTACTGCAATTTATTCAACCACTGATTAGCTGATTGAATTGCACATGAACTCCACCCTGGCTATTTTTTTAGTGTAATTTTTTGTTGTGTCTGGTATTGGAGGTTGGTTTCTGACCTATACCTGGATGTACTCAGGGCTTATTCCTAACTGTGTGCTCAAGGATCATTTTTAGCATGGCTCAGAAAACCATTTGTGGTGTTGGGGATTGAAACTTGGGCAGCCATGTGTAAGGCAAATTTCTTACCTGCTGTACTAACTCTCTGGCCCCTGAAATAATCTGCTTTTTAAACTTTTCCTTCAGAAATTGTGGTATCTCTATAGTTAGTACTTGTGAGTTTTTAAAGGGGGGAGATATTGGAGGTGCAAATAACTGATTTTATTCTTTGCTATCAATCACAGAATAAAAGTTATAAGGAGAAAATCATAATTAATTAGACTTGGAATTCTTAGTTACCTAAGCAGGAAGCACTCACGGATGGCCTGGTGATTTCAGCTTCATATTGAAGGCATAGTCCAGGGTTTGAGAACTCCCTACTTGGTTGGAGGAATCATTCGGGATGGGATATGTGTGCTGAAAGTAGATAAAGGAATAAACATGATAGCCTCTCAGTATCTGTATTGCAGACCATAATGCCCAAAAGTAGAGAGGGAGTATGGGGAAAATTGTTTGCCATGGAGGCAGTGGGTAAGTGGGAAAGAAAGGGTCAGTATACTGGGGACATTGGTGGTAGAGAATGTGCACTGGTGGAAGGATGGGTGTTCGATCATTGTATGACTGAAACTCAAACATGAAAGCTTGTAACTAAATCACACGGTGATTCAATAATAAATTTTTTTTCAACTGAAAAAAAAGCCTTCCTAACTGACCAGGAGATGCCTATAAAGAAGAATCAACCAACCTCAGTCCCCAAGTAGAAGTTGTGAAAAATATCTACCTTCTTGTTCATATTTCATATCTGTTGCCAAAGTTCCTTCCACCCACAACTGATCTGACTTTTCAAAAATGAGATGTTCTTATCATTCACTATATTCTGGGTTGATTGTACCAACTTGGTTGGAGGAAGTGCCTTACCTACTGTACTATCACTTGAACCCCAAGTGTAACATTGCATAACATAGTTTTTGGTGTGATTATTGAAAGTCAACATCAGGGTCAGGGAGATAGACCTAAGGGCTGGAACACATGGTTTGCAAAAGGGAACCCTGGGTTTTAACCCAGCACCTCGGGGTCTCCTGAACATCACTAGGACCTTCAAGTAACACACAGAGAGTAGCACCTGTGCACAACACAGATCTAGGTCAAAAGAAAAAGAAACAGAAAGCCCACAAAGGGATTCCTAATGACAATTGGTTCCTTAAGGAGTGAGGCTCCAGGGACCAAGGAGAAAGTTCCCAAGCATCTAACTAATAACTTCGTCTAAAGACTGAGTCTGGCACAAAGAGGACATAAAGAGGTCTTCTTCCTGGCTAGTCTTGGCGCTGTCTGCTTTGGAGCTGCCAAATGTCTTCAGGAAATGTCCAAATTGGGCATTCTGCCCCCAAACTCAGAGCCATAACTGCAGTGCTAGATGGTCAGTTTAAAGATGCTACACTGCGCTCTGCTTCCATCATCTTAACTT